GCGAAAGCGACGTCTGCGTAGGATGTCGTGGATGGTGGAACGGGGAGCAGAAGTCGTCCTCTCCATTCCTCTCAAGCTTTGAGGATTGCTTTAGACTGAGGCTAAGAAATGTCGGTCTTGGTGGAACGTAGACGTCCGCTCCGTGGCGCTTCATAAGTGAATCGCTTCTCTAGAGAAGCGACCGTACCACCTATAGCAGGTGGCGAGAGAAGGTGCAGTACTGCCCATCGATGACTGCAACTCATTCCGGGCTTGACTGGCTTAGCGGCCAGAATCGGTAGCAATGAAGTAAAAGACGTCGATAGTCGTGTAGGTCGGGCATAATTCAAATGATGATAACTCACTTCCAAGGATAAAGTGCAATACTGTTCTATTGCTTTGACGATCTACCAAGAGTGCCCTTTTCCTGCCCTTTTGTCGGTGGATCTGCCTCGGCGCTTTCTTGCGCAACATGGTTGCGAAATTCATGACCAAAATTTTCTCAAAACTTTTGGGACACCCTATAGTAGTCTCTAGGAATCAATAGTGTTTCTCTTGTACCACTTCGTGTGAAATATTATTTAGAGATCTAAACGCATTAAAGGCACAGTTCACGGTAAAAACGGTTCCAGGGATTTCCCTATAGTATGAATTTGAGGCTCCCGTATGCCATACCTGTCATTATAAGATCGAAAAACGTCCTGGATGAAGCACAATAAGGGGCTTGATATTGTAGAGGCTGCACTGCAGAGGCATTTCCTGAAGTAGGCGGATTCCGTCATTTTCTTCGTCACCGATGTACTCCTCTATATCAATACTTCCGTCTTTCAACACAAAAGGGTACCTCAAAATTACTGTAAACCGTGCCTTCAAATACAATAAAAAAATTAGGCAAAAAAATAGTAATCAAGAATAGTGCCGTGTGCGGCCGCCCACGTGGCCACAAAGCGTGGCTCATATGCAATGCGACATTATGCCAAGGTTCAGAGAAAGCATCACATGAGATACTCCATGTGACTGTCAGCAGACCTCAACACATCGCGGCTCACGAAAAGCTCTCGCAGTTCAAATAAATAACAAATCCGGCAACCGGCAAGGTCATCGGCATGTCTGTCGGTCTTTGCTACGTAACCCTCCCTAGGATACCTCAGAGGTAGATTGTTACTGTAGTTGCAGAGCTGAACACCCTTCCCTAAATAAGAAAAAGGATAGGCTGATTGCAGGAGGGACACCAACGCCGAAAGCAAATCCCATTTCGTATGAAAAAGTTATTTCTCAGCTGCCGGTGGAACTGCGCTGATACATTACTTTTTGCGGTGCTCTCAAATGGCGCTACGGTAAAAGACTAATCTATAGAAGTACCACTATGGAAACTCCCTAAATTCTAGGTCCGCAGATTACAAAAACTAAAGCTCCAGGATATTAATTCCCGCCTTCATTTTGCAAGGAACCCACAGGAAAAAAATCGAGGGTCAGGGCTGGCTCCGTAACTTTTTTCTGAGTGATTCTTGCTCTTGCTCTGCCTCGACCTGGGTACCCCAACATCCGAAAGCTTCTCGGACACCATCTGTAGGACACCTTGAAATACCGTTCGAAAGAGTGAAGGTTCGACGGTATTGCTACCCTGTACACCCTGTAAGTTCTAGTAAGTTCTAGTTAGTGGGCCAATGCAGTGAACACAAGTTTTAAGAAGCAACGGTGAATATACTGCGCATTGATATCTACTCACTTGAAATAGTGAAGCTTCAAAATAATGTTGCTTGTGTCGAAAGACTTATGCAAAAACGTAATGACAAAGGATGTGCAAAGGCCGTGTATCCGATTGTTGCATGGTATTATAGGTCAGTTCAGTTCGGTTCTGTTTTCCAATAAGTTTACATACTTACTGGCGTTCCTTGACTGTCTACAAGTACATCTACAACAACTGGTGAACAGTGGACTTCAACGCTGACAACAAGAGCGAACAGCTTAGAGACTTCAACGCGGACAACGAGAATGACCAGATCACTAGGCGATCGAGCCGACGAGGAGGAGGATAGTCACTTAGGAAAACGGACACGAAAAGTATACAAGCCATCTTGGATGCCTAGGCTAGGATGCAGTAAGAAATGTTCGTTGAACTCGTCAGTTGCATGGAAGGAGTGGTGTCTGGCTAACGTTGCACCATTCCAACGTCTCCTGTCAACGCAGCTAAGTTTGCGACGAGCTCGCGTCAGCGCGCTTACCTGAATTCGTATACGATCTCGAAAATGGTTGTACCTTCAAGGTCTAGTACACTTTATGAAGACTTATATCCAAGGACGGCGCTGCTTTGGATGAAGCTGCAAAAGCTCGACGAATCGTCTCCAAGCTCGACGCCATCACATCCGCACGTTTCACAAGCCGACATCGAATAACTTGTCATGAATTGTGGCAAATGAGATTCAGTGGCGAAGGATCTCGTCAAAGCCGAACTATAATTCCTGGCCAAAACCAACCTCTCCAACGCTGACTTTGCAGGGCAAATGAACTGACGATTTTACCTGATACTTGTGGATGCATATTACTAATGGCCTGAAATCGTCCGGATGTCCTCGATATCTTCCACGTCTACTATCCAAGTGAAAGGGCATTTTCGCAATGTTCGGAATCCCTACGTCTCTTGTCACGGACAATGGGACATAGTTTACATCTTCACTGTTCGCCTTGTTTTGCCGTTCCCGAGGAGTCACACACACGCCGCTGCTCCATCCACAGAGCAATGGACATGCTGAACGCTTCGAGGATACCTTCAAACGAGGACTCGTCGAATTGAAGGGGGAGAAACCAACAGTTGCCGTTGTCCAGACGTTTCTGATGGCTTACCGTTCTACTCCCTGTCCGTCTGCACCAGCCAACGCTCACCTGCCCAAGCCTTCCTGGGACGCCGACTGCGAACCGACCTTGATCTGATGCTACCTCAAGAAGACGTTGTTGATGGACCGCGAGACGTCACAATGGAAACGCAATTGAACCGAAGACATGGAGCACTTCGTAACAAGTTCAAACCCAACGACACCATCTACGCCAGGAACTATAGAGGAACAAAGCGGTCTTGGACTCCGGGTGTCATCATTCGAGCTGTTGTTGGAAACACAACTTACCTCGTGCGTTGTGGAAATCTACTATGTAACCGATACGTGAACCAGCCGCGATCTAGAAGCGACACAACTACAATAACAACTACAAACACTCTTTAGATTTATTCGATTTGTCACTCTTCCACTGTGTGAGCAAGGACCGTGCGCCGCGGACGACTCCGACCGACCCACCAAGGCGATCGCAACGCAATCGACGACCGCAACGCCGACTCCAGCTAGACCTCAAGAAGCCCCAATACGATACAACTCAAGAGGGAAGGTGTTGAAGGGTATCATTGATCTATGTCATTTGAACATTTTATCATAGACTATGCAAAACCGCGCATAGTACGTAGCTCTGTCAGACCAATACTCAGAGATTTTTACGTTGTCAGTCCAGTTCGGTTCTGTTTTTCAATAAATCTACATATATACTAGCGTTTCTCGACTGCCCACAAGTACACCCACGATAACGATACCCTTTTTACGTTGGGCGCTACAAATATCTGTAAATGCTCGTGCATGAGTGCAGGAGTCAACATGGTTGACGACCTAGCTCTGGTGTTGAATAGAAGATGAGTGGTATGGATGAACACCGAGGAAGCAGTGAGAATAACAGAGACCATCCGTCTCCGGCATCCTCGTACTACAGGCAGGATGAGCATGAACACCACTCGACGTGCGGTGAGTAAAGTGAAGCCTGGAATTTTTCTGCACATAGAAGCAGAGGTAATGTTGAGATCCAACCCCCAGCTTCTGAGAAGGTGGAACGCTACCGCACATTCAAAGGAAGAGAAGATGAGATGGGTAGAACACGTCACGCGGCTTTGTGGTGACCGTCATTAGATCATGGTTGCTCATTGGATTCCTCTTGATGTCAAACAAACGCGGCCGTCAACGCGAGAGTAGACAGTTATCTCTCTGTTTGTTTATATGATTCTCCTTTATTTTTCTAGCGATATGTTCTTCTAAAAGAGTGATGTTGATGCGTCCCTCTGGAGAATTCCCTGACCAGTAAGAGGTAGAAAACCCACTGATAATGCTGAGAAATGCATAGTTACAGACAGAAAAAGGCACACAGGCGTTGAAGCATGCTTCATTGTCATCACTAGCTATGTTTTTTGCCACATCAAAATTGAGATAAACTTGTGGAATATTAATTGTCACAAATGTAGTTGTAGGAGAATTTCTTGTCAGGAATTATATTTGTGAGCTAAGCAGCGTAGTGCTCATAAAATTAGGTAGTTCATTTCGACTTGGGTCCCTGAAAAACAATTTGATCAGGAGTGGGTGATTTCTTAAATATCATTTCGGAGGGAATTTTCGACATTTGATCGTTTTTAGATTCCTTTCGTGTCGGAGACCATCAGTTTATACGTAATCACTACTTCACGCAAGTAAATTCCGATTATTTATTAATATGCAAGAGCGAGGTCCAACCAACGAGCCTGAGGCCACAGATGACTTCAGATCTTTCGTATGAAGATTTCAAATCATCTGTGGTCAACTGCTCCTGCGTCACTCCCACACCGTGTCATCTGCAATAATGAGCGGGAAGGTGACGGCATGGCCCCAGACGTGATCTGTCTTATATCATGCAGCCCCGGTGAGATGAATACATTGGTGAGACCGGCGGAACCTATTACGTAAGTTCAAGGGACAGTTTGATTGTCTGAACAGATCAGGTTTTGAGACCTCACCGGTTCCTCATCAGTGGTAGTGCCATCAAAGTGCGAGGTCCGAAGTGGGGGGAGGGACTTTATGAGAGCACCACTTCAGCGATTCATTCAACCATAAAAAACCAACTCTCCAAATTTTCTCTATAAATGCGGGCTTCCATGACATCTTGTTCGAATCGAGGATTGGGTCAACTAGGATCCACTTGCGAACAGTTGATAGATGATTTACAGTCACTGCTAATGTTTACGTGAGTTGTCTCACCAGTGGATCTACAATATCGATCTTCAGCTCATGTTTGAACTGAACTTAATCCAAAAATTAAATCGCAGGTACCATTAGTTTTCAAGTTCTGATGAAGGATATGGATTACCAGAAGGTCAGAAGAAGGAAGAGTAAGAGAAGTTGCACCATCTCGTTGAAGCTCCATGGATGTATTGGTAATACTGTTTCTTATGATGACACTTTAACACTACCCCCTACTGCCCCCATATTTACCAGATAGTCCGAAAAGTTCGCCATTTAAGTGTGAAAGCATGTTGCGCACGAATGTACTGAAGCAGAACTGTAGACCACCTAGAGGAAAAGGGATCGACCATACCATGTGCGATCGACAGGATTACCGCCGCCTTCTGTTTCACCACTACAAAACTGATCGCTAAGCCGCTCTGGCTCGGAATCATTTTGGTCTTTGATTTGCAGCAGTGCACTTTCTATTGCCACCTACGGCAAGAGGCACGACCGTATCTTTCAAGAAGAAGTTTGCGCTGTCGAAGTTTCCTAAAACGGACGTTCTCTTTTCATAAATAACGAAATTGTTCTTGCCTCTTCTCTAAACAAATTCCCCAAAGTCTCAGGTTGTTGAAAGGACGATTTCTACTGCCTATTCTATCATGCTCGGCGTTCTACGCTGGAAACCGATTTGCTACAAGACTTTCTGCAAATATCCCACCCTCTATGACTGAGCACAAGTCTAGAGGGCAAGTGTCAGAAGCTGTCGATGTGTGTCAGAAGCTCCTTGGCTGTAAGCGAACGTCGACATGGAGACACTACTACCGGTCAAGATGAAAAGTGGACGCCATGTGAAAATCCGTACACAAAATCGCATCGGTAAACGTAAGGCCACATCTGGTTTCGAAGCTAGGTGCCAACGTCAAGAAGGATGGTTCTTCTGCTAAAACGGATATCTTACTCAGAAATCCTATCAGAATATACTGCTGTAACTGCAAAAGAACACTGCGAACAACTGCGAGAGATAGGGTCCACAGCCCTTTTTTGACACCGACTACTAGGAGCATTTTNCAAGTGTCAGAAGCTGTCGATGTGTGTCAGAAGCTCCTCGGCTATAAGCGAACGTCGACATGGACACACTACACTACCGGTCAGGTTGAAAAGTGGACGTCATGTGAAAATCCGTACACAAATCGCAATGGCTGTCGGTAAACGTAAGGCCACATCTGGTTTCGAAGCTGGGTACCAACACCAAGAAGGATGGTTCTTCTTCTAAACCGGGTATCTTCCTATGAAAACCTATCAGAGTATACTGCTGCAACCGCAAAAGTATACTGCGAACAACTGCGAGAGATAGGGTCCACAGCCCTTTTTTGATACCGACTACTAGGAGCATTTTGATATTAATGGATATGCTTAACAGCACCATACGAGGATGTCGACGGAGGAGTTAGAAAAACTCGATGTAACCTGGCTACCTCATTCAGCTTTAGGAAATCAAATGAGTAGTAGATGAATGAATTGAATTGTGCCTTACTTCCTTCCAATTCGATTGGTAGCGAGACGCCGCGACTAAGGAGGACCACCATCTTTAATAGTGATCTTTTTATTTTACGTGTAAAAACCGACTGTTTTATCAAAACTTTCCGGTCATGCTTACAATACACTAACTGCCCACTCCAATACGTTATGTAAGCGAAGGAAGAGCCAGGAATGATTGGGGAGAGCGTTTATGGGTTTGTTCAGAGGTTTCAAATGTAGAATACATGACCTGTTTTTGAGAAACCCTAATAATCAATATTGATGAAAACATGAACGTACCTATGGTTTTTGATTTATCGAAATGTTTTTGTTGCGCGTATTGCCTTGGCCAACTTTCCTTTCGCGCCAGGTGATTTCTCCTTAGCAGGGCTATCTTCAGATTCGCTTTCGCTCGACCCAGTTTTTAAGTTATCCGATGAAATAACGTCCTGAACAAACTGCGTTATCCCACGTGGTACAGTAAAACCCAGATATGAATCGAGTAGATCAAATAGAAAATAAGCAATGACTAAAATTGAAAAAATTAAAATTTTAAATAAAGCTAAATTTAAAATTAAAATTAAATTCAAAATTAAAATCAAAAAATAGAATCAAAACTGTCCGCAGATGAATTTGTATGCAGCAATTGTGTGTTTGTCATGAGCAGCATTCACGAGAACTGTTCAAAATGATTTAAAAGCGCAGTTTAAAACAAATTCGAGGTACCCTTTTTGAATTAAAACGGAAGCCTTGATGT